GTTTCAAGAATTATACATTTTTTTGGCAAAAACTACTAGAGAGAAACAAAAGCCGTGTCCGATCTGACACTTGAATTTATTTTTGTTTTTTTTCTGTGCTGTCAATATATGGGCCAATCTGTCCAGTAACATGTGATGCGTGTTGACAAGCCGCGATGCGTGTTGGCAACCCGCTACATATTTCTAATATAAATATAGATTACAACAATGCACCAAAGGCTATTTTCATTTGTTATCATAATTAAAATCTACCTCAAGTGATAGTCTATGTATCACTACTGCTTGATATGAAGCTGCTCAAGGTGGATAAAACTATGTCTACCTCAAGTGATAGTCTATGTATCACTACTGCTTGATATGAAGCTGCTCAAGGTGGACAAAACTATGATAAGCTCAAATCAATAGTAGAATAAAGATTTCAATCAGAAAGTTTCAACAAATGTTGTATAGTTTTATAGAATAGTTTCGCTTATGATCAAAAGTAGATGAAAACAATCGATCCCTATCTAAACCACAATTTATCAGCTTATTTCTTAGCCTTGCAAGATTTTTTGTTTGACTCCAAACTTGAACAGCTTAATATCAAGTAGTAATGATCCATTCTCATTTCAAAATATAGATCTAAATAATAATCACAAATGTAAATGGCTTTACCACTAGTAGAAAAGAAATACGTAAAGTTGCCTTCTACAATATTGTTCGTAAATGCAACTTATTTATAACAGTTTATAAAACACCTAGTTGGTTTTGATAGCTTGCAAATATATATCATTTTTCTATAAAATGCTTTTAAATGAATTAATTTATATAATTTTTATTAATTTAATATAATTAATTTATATGAATAAAGTATTCAAACAATTTTGACTACTTCGAGCGAATGATGATTTCATTATAAATTACGTACCTACGTATAGAAATCGGTGTTTTATAATTATTTATTTATTAATTTCCCAAAATGTATATTATTGAATTTGTAGAAAAATCGAAAATAATTGATTGCTTATATTTTTACATATTGACGTTTAAAAATATTCTGTTTATTCTAAAACTAAAAATGGATGTAAGTTGGTGTTGGTATGTAAATTTTCTGGTTATTCTGCCAGGTATACGTTAAGCAAAAAGGCATGTTTTATGTATAAGTATGAATTTATTAAGTATCAACTTTTATCTAAAATATAATATTATATGGATCCAATATTATGATCATCGCCCATGGCAAGAACTTCTGAAGAGATTTTTTTTTAATTTTCGAGATATCACAACTAATTTTATTGATATTGTCGTAAAATGCAGATATTAGTTTATCAGTTATGATAGTTGTTGGTAGATTAATCATTTTTTCGCCCAAGAAATTCACATGCATTGCATTTTTTACATTATTTTGTTTTTGAATTTTACTTCAATATATTCTTCAGCTCTTTTAGAAGGCAACTCGATAGTTGACCTATTGATAGTATTTTTATTAGAATTTTGTTAATAGTATTTTTTTAAAATTTACGTTATGTTTTGATATTTTGTTAGTGACCTCCGTCTAATAGTGATGGTATATTTTAGGTTCATTATAAAAAAGTCGGAAACAATCTTGAAAACAAAGTTTCGTATATTTTTTACAAGAGAAAATAAATATGACTACTGTTTGATATCAGAAAAATTTTAATGCTTATACATTTTTTACTTTGTTTTATTCTTAAACACCAATATGTTCTTCGATTCTTTTAGAAAGCAATACCATGGCTGTCCTATCTATATTTGATAAATAATTTCCATTTTAATTTGGTGCTAATTTTTTCTAAGGGTAATAATATATATTTAATTCAATATAACAATATTAACAACCTGAAAAAGGCTTGGAAACATCTCCTACTTGATATCAGGTCGTCGAAACAAAGGTTCAAATCTGAGATTTCATAATCACGAAGCCAGGGGCTTACTACAACGCTACAAACATCATATATAAATTTCGTACTTAATTCACTTTTTATTTTACGCATATTGAATCAAATACCTTTAAATATTATAGGCCTTTGAGAAGTGGTTCGATTATAAAAATGAAAATAGACCACGCAAAGTTTCATCAAAATCCCAGAAGACCACACCTGAGGTTCTCCTTGTAAGTCCATTTGTTAGGAAGCCAATTTTTTGGTTAGATTGCACTTGTTGCTTTCGATTATCACAAATGCTTTTTAACTATTATAATAACAAGTATGAAAATAAATACTGATCAAGAAATGTAGACAATTGTTTCAAAACAATAATAAATTTTGGTTAAATTTTGTGCTCAAACCTTTCCTTCACTTTGGGATTCACAATTATTATAATTGACACATGCACAGATATGAAGAAGAAAAAATTGGAATAACCTGGTCTCGTACAATTGCAAAATATTAAAACATTATTAAAGAAGACCATTCTATGTAAGTATATTATATAACCTCCTACATATGTAACATGTCTTAAGTAGTATGTACATCACATCACATTAGATTATCGATCATGGTTCAGTCGATCTTTCAAGAAGTCGTGGGCTAGATAAAGATCCGGTTTAGTGTAGGTACAGGTACAGGTACAGATAGGTATAGCCCATCTCTAGACATTCTCTCCAGTACGTGCTTTATGACTAAAACGTTACGTTCGCAAACAAGACGGTTTTAGAACGATGGCTATGACTTTTTTCCAATCGTCGAAGATCGAAAGTAACGGGTCATCCGCATCAGAACGATTAATTCGACTGGTGAAGAAATAAGCAGTACTAAGGTGCAACTATTGGCTGTTGGCAAATCGATATAACTTTCCTAAATATTATTTACTGTAGAATCCGGATTAGCAAGATTTAAACAGTTGCAATAACAATGATTAAGCTCAAGTTAGACATATAAAATAATTTTCAATTCAACGACAGTTTTGTACGTGTGCATAAAACTGGTAGTTTTAATCTGGTTGTCCGGATTCTACTGCGAATGATATCAATCCGTAAAGAGAAATTTCTGTAATAGTTCAGTCATGATAGTAAGTTCACCTCGGAATTTGAAATTGTCTCAAAACCAACTTATGTTGCGTACACCTACCATATGTAGGTTTTGAGATAACTTTTAGGTGTCAATATGCAAGTATTTACAGACTTACAGCTGGGTATCTCGAATTCCGAGATTCTTACCTAATTTAAGTTTAAATGACTGAATTATAAAACTAATACTGAATGAGGAAAATAAATTAAACTATTCCATTTAAATTCAAACCGGGACTTTCTAACTGTTTATAAAATGAAAGAAATAAATATTTTGAAAATCGAAACAATTGTGGTTGAATAAAAAAAAAGTTAATTAGAATAATATAATATAGTTTCTCCGAAAATTAAATATTTTGAAAATCAAAGATGATTAAGATTTTTATGAATATTTATATGATTGAGATTCGTTTGCAAAATTTGTATCGAAAAAATAAATTTCGTCATATGCATAAAAATTGTAAAAATAGCTAAATTCGGAAATTCATAAAACTGTTCATTTTGAAATACACGTGAAATCAATAAAAGTTATAATAATGGTTGAGTATAAATACATAACTGAGTAGTATTTTACTAAAAGTGGTATTTATAATTAAACTATTTTTCGGATTCTTATAATATTTAAGAATGACGATTAAGACCCTGAAATCTAATTTCATTGCCAAACTATTTTTTTCTAACATTTGAAAAAAAACAGCCCGGCTGATCTTTACCAAGATTAAATCAGCACGATTCCCAACTGGTATCTTTCAAAAAGTTTCAAGTATGAATTTTCAAAATGGCTTTAGGACTTCTGGAAATTAAATTAGTGCACCCGTTTTTGAGAAAACGTCGACTCTAGTCCTACATTTCACCAACGTTCTCTATTAGACTTGTTCTCTAATTAGGGCAAAAGTTTAATTATGACGAGTGGGAATTATAGAATTCTATTGCCTCCTCCCATAAACTAATGCATAACAGTGGTTTTCTTGAGAACAAAAGACAAGAGATAAGTGGAGATTTTAGTCAGTATTATATCCAAGCGGTAGTAAGCCCGACATACCCAGACAAAAGACCTAGTCTGGTATGCATTTCCCTTGCTATACAAAAAAAACCACATACATTTTCCAACTTTGATGTCAAACGATTCAGAATGACTTGATACGCCTTGAAATCAAAGTTAGCAAATCGGAATTTCTGACAAAATGACTTTCTTATTCGGATAGTTAATGATTGTATCGACCATTCAAAGTAGTTAGATATCAAAGTTTTTAATTTTTTTAAAACATCTCAAACCAGGAAAATTATTTTAATTATGAAAAAATCGCAAACTTTTTCAAAACGAAGCTAATCAGGTACGATACAAAACAATAAAATTATATTATTTTATATTTCGCTGAATAAGTTTCTGACTAAAAAAAGTATTTTCGGGAAAATCAATATATAATAAATCGACCGTTAATACAACCATGCTTAAAATTTCTCGCTTAATACGCCATTTTATGACTAAAAAAAGTATTTTTCGGCAATATCAATAATAAAGCGACCGTTAATACAACCATGCTTAAAATTTCTCGCTTAATACGCCACTTCATGACAAAAAAAGTATTTTTCGGCAAAATCAATATATACCAAAGCTCTGTTAATACAATCATGCTTGAAATTTCTCGTTTAATATGCCACTTTATGACTAAAAAAAGTATTTGTGGGCAAAATCAATATATAGTAAAGCCCCGTTAATACAACCATGCTTGAAATTTCTCGCTTAATACGTCACATTATGACTAACAAAAGTATTTTTGGGCAAAATCAATATATAGTAAAGCCCCGTTAATAGAACCATGCTTAAGATTTCTCGTTTAATACGCCACTTTATGACCAAAAAAAGTATTTTTGGGCAAAATCAATATATAGTAAAGCCCCGTTAATACAACCATGTTTGAAATTTCTCGCTTAATATGCCACTTTACCCAGTGCCCTGCACATAGAAACTTTATTTTCCTATCACACATACTAGGTCATCTCGCATCAGAAGCGTTTTGGGTATAGTTCCTGGAAAATCGTCTAAATGGTAATTACTGCAAATAATAAAAATAGTTTAGTATGAATAGAGCTTCATAATTTTATTGTTCGATGCCCATAGCAAATAGAATGTTAAACAAATACAAATAAACTTTAGCACGCAATGAGTCGTGGAAAGTCTTTGGCTCTTCTTATAGTATTTCGGTCATGTCCCGCTTGTTTCAACTTTACTTTTATTATTTTTTCACCCAAAGAATAGTAATGGCTTTTGAAATATTTACTAGAGAACTCGCTCGAGGCCAACGAAGGTAATTTGATCCAAAAATCTTTTTCTAATTTCGAATCGATGTCGGAATATATAATGTATAACTTATTATGCAATAGTTTCACGTAGAATCAGGAGGCAAAGTTCGCGCATGGAGTTATATAACTTGGAAATATGATTTATAAAATGTACTATGTGAACATTAAGTTGATTAACCGATAGGAAAATGGTAAATATTGTAGGAGAAAACGGTTTGAAATGATGGCTCACATACATAAATATTCTACTCATTTCATGCTGGTAAAATAAAACTATAGCGTTTCATTTTCCATTGACAAAGAACAATAGTCGCAATTATTTGAGTAAAGTATTGGGTAGTGCGGGGTACAAAAGTCCAATTTGACTTTGAGAAATTATATTAAGAAAACTAAACCAATTACATAACAACAAATAACACATACCATACAAACGACTATTAGACTATAAACAGTAAAACTCCTAGCTAATTCATAATTCATCATTGTAGAAATGTTTTTTGGCAGTTTTTCAAAGATTTTTCACCTGGTTCTTTTTACCCAATAGGCGGCGTAAAATGGGATAGCCAGTGAATCCTTTTAAAGGTCTTTACAAAATAATGGCTGCATTATTCAACTAATGCAAAATATGAATTTATTGGTACATTTTTTACGGATATAACACTGTATATAAACTTGATAAGATTTTTTGTCAGAAAAAATCATCAGCTGGGTTGAAAAAAATGTTTATTTAACTTATCACTCGTAAAATTGACTCTTTAACTGAATTTACTTTTTTATGTACTATTTTTTAATGTTTAGACCTTTGTTAGGGTAAAGGCTCAGATGGTCCTTTCTACCCCAAATGCATGTAAACTTTTATAAAGGTTATATATGATAAACTGTCGAATCTAACTGAAAAATAACAGTACATCTTATGAAGTAATTAAATAATGTAGACTTGAAATTATATTATGGTCTCGTAAACTTAACAACAGTGCTCACAACAAAAGAAAAACTAACAACAAAAGAAAATAGTCATAGAAATCAAGGTGATAGCTGGTTATCCGTAAATCGGATGATGCGTAAAAATCACAGATGTTTTTGATTTAAAATTAGTACAAGCTAATTGTGGCTGTACCAATTTCAAAAATTTAAAAGCTTTGAAATATAAAAGCAAAAATTGACTATTTTTGCGAAATGATCGTCCAAGCTGTTTCTTTACAATTAGCAGAGAAATGAAAAAAAAAATCATGTTTTTGCCAAAAATAATTTCAAAAGTCTAATGAAAAATATCAGGATAAAATCATGCTGGTTAATTTTAGTTTCTTCGTCATTAATTTTTGATAATAGTTTTTTGACGATTTCGATGAAACTTTTTCTGATGATAAAGTTCGTGGTCTTCACGAACATCCTGCACATTAAAAGTAATTTAATTATAAAAATCATTAAAGTTGGATGTTGTCATTTAGCATTGCTATATTGTTTTTGAATTTCTCTGTCTCAATGATATTTTCATGATACATATATAAAATTCTATATGAAAAATTTCAATCCATCAATGTTTAGTAATATGTTTGGATTCAAATGAATGTACTGTCCAGTTCTGGACGATTGAGCATCATCATCGGAAAATAATTTAATCACGCGCATAACCTTCTCCATTATCATCCATTATCAGAATAGAATATGTGAGCATCACAAAGTATTTATATCAGCAATTCGTATTCGATTTGTCATCCATACGACACGAGTTTAATTTTAATTCTAAACGAATCGATTATAGAAGCGGTATATTACTCTCAATGAAAGTTAATGGTAATTTGCCATCGGGATATATCAAAAATAATTGATACGTGGAATATAAAGTACAAAATATAACTTTCCCTTTAACAGAATCTGAAAAATAATTTGGTAAAATAATTTGTTATATAGGGGAAACTGGGTATGGTTGTGCTAGCAGCAATAATTTTGTTAGTTTACCAGATAGCTGGGAGAAAAGTAAATTAAATGGTAATTAAATTGAACATTTGTCTACGAGTAAATACTGAAATACTGTCCTTAAATACGATGGATTAGTCATAGAATCAAATCATACAAGAAAGGGCCAGTGGCACAACCGTCCACATCCGAGAGCCGATTGTGATAGGCATAAAAATAGATTAAAAAATAATAGGTACAAACCCGAAAATGGTTCATAAAGACTTTCATTATCAGAAATATGTAATACAATACAGCATAATCATGTAAACAAATATAACAATATATAACAAAAAATAATTTTTTTAACAAAAAATCTTTATGAAATCTTTAATTTGAATTTTTACTCTCTCTTTCGTATTTTATATTAGTTAAGTTAGATTTTCCTTATCTGTTTAAATTTCACCAGAAAGGACAAGAAATACATGTCACAACTTATACATGTCACGTAAAACAAAACTAATTTCTAGTAATTAACTACTAATGTTCAACTTACAGCAAAATACCAAAGCAATTTATCTGTATATAAGTAACAGGTATTATTAGAAGAAATTGAGCAAAAACTTACTTATGGCTCTTTAAAAGCAATTCGGTCTATAGATCACGACAGATTATAAGCGCTGATTCAATGCAATAAGGGAAACTTGTTCGAACAAACATACTTCATATTTCACCTTTTGGTCCATATCTCAAAATCAGTATATTGGGCACAACCGTACCCAGTCTCCTCTACTGTTCATCATCTATGTGATTTAGATCAATCTTCTATTACAATATATTATTATTTGATATTAATTTATAATTATTCTTATTTACGTTTATGATAAAATATTCAATCATATTTTAACTCAGAAAAACTACTTAACCAATATTTTCTTTATTATCTTGGACACAAAATTGAAAAATCGAAATCATTCGAAATCAGGTTGCAAAGAACCTAAAACAATGAGCCAAATATACCAGATGCATGAAAAGTTTTGGAAAATCCGGTGATTCATTTAATTGAAACCTGAAGTTAAATTCTCACATTTTTAGTATCCCGTTAGAACAAGAAGTTTGTTTTCACCAGAATGTAGGGTTTTCTGATTTCATGTCTTCTTATCGTTTCAAAGCATTCTGAATCCATTGACCGCAAAATTGAAGTAAATTAAAAGAGTATGCATTCCAAAAAAGTCAATGACTATTTCGAAAATTTAAAGGCCATTCGATGAAATCGATGACGATAAGAACTAGCATGGATTATAATTAGTAGTTATAATGCAAAAAATTTGTCAACGTCTATGCCAAAAATTCTGAACCAAGTTTGAGAACTCAAAAATTGTTCGACAGATATCAGTTGAAAATCCTGCTAAATGTTTATAAAAATCGGCCGATCCATTACTTTATAATTGATTGTTGTTACTGTTTTGAGAATTTGAATAAAACTTTGTATAGCGGTAAATTAAAAGTGGTTTAATTATAAAAATCCATCAAAGTTTTGTATAATAGGGCGTAAAATGGGTTTTCCTGGCAAAAGGGTTTAACGCGTAGCCTCATGTAGACGGAGTCGCGAGTTAAAGCCCCCGCTTTGGCAACCTGGTATCGCGCAGCAGCGATGTTCAATTTGACCTAAAAATATAGATCAAATATATGTTCCTAATTAAAAATAGCTCACTTTGGGAAACCTATCACACTATTCTTCCCTGAATCGATTTGGAGTTTAACTCGGCTTATGAACCTGCCCTAGGGGCATTCATTCCAAATCTTAAAATACTAATTATATATAAACAATCTGAGAGATCTTCAAAACTTGACGATGGTATTCTAAAATTTTATATTTTAAATCATATTTTCAGACCAAGCCTACCCATATTCTGAATGATCGAAAATATTAAGGTAACCACAAAATATCCATGTAATATAATACTATTTTGGAGAATTATTTTTATAATATTTACAACGCCAAACATGCTATTTTGTATCTTTTTGACCTAAAACTAGACAATACACATGATAGAGTAGATTTTGAAATACTTTCGCACAGAACAAAGCAATCATGTAGTGCACCACGAGAGAAATTAATATTCTAAGAGTTTTCTTATAAAAATTGCATGGATCTGATTTGCATTGTATACGTAGGAATTTGCATACGAGATACTAAAAGAAATGGAGTGTTTTATATAATATCAATTTTTATAAAAATACATTTTTCATAGACAGTAGTAATAGTAATTGAATGGATATAAAAATATGAAACAAGAAATATTTGGTCAAAAAAGAATATGGTTCTAGTAAGTCTAGAAACTATTTTACTTACGACTAATTGTTTAATTCCAACAACCAAGACTACAATAAAGCTATATTTTCATTATTGTCCCTTAAAGAGTAAACTCGGAGTTATGTTAGACTCAACAGGTTTTTTATATAACATCTATAAAAGCTTACATGCAGTTAGGGTAAAAAGAACCAACTAAACCGTTACCGTGGCAAAGGTGTAAATAAAAAAAAATAGTAAGTAAAACAGTAAATTTTGTTAACAAAAGCAATTCTACAAAACATAAGTTAAATAGTTATTCCAACTATGCTGGAGATAATTTTTGGCGAAATACCACATCAAGGTTATATACAGTGTTATCTCTGTAAAAAAATGTACCAATGAGATTTATATTTTGCATTGGGTAAATAGTGTAGCTCCTATTTTATAGAACCCCTTTAAAAGTAAGACATTTGATTTCTGTTCCATCTCACCCTGTCTATGAGGTAAAAAGGTCCAGATGACAAATTTTTGAAAAACAGCAAAAAATACTCTCTACAATGCTAATTTAGCTGGGAGTTTTACTGAACATTGTCAAATAGTTGTTTGTTTGATATGTGTTGTTTTTTGTAATGTAATTTCCTTTTCACAATATAATTGCTCGAAGTCAAATTGGACTTTTGTGCCCCGCCCTACACTACTACTTGAATTTACAGCAACATATCACAATCTGTTTTCAATTACTATCCCCATAAGTTACATATGATAAATTGATATAATCGGTTTTGGTTTTAGGTTTTTATTAAGGAAGCCTTGCTCCAGGTCATCCATCAAATCTATCCTTTCTTCAAACGTCTCCTAACTTTCTAATAAGCACAATCTCTATTTAATAAAATGTCTTTCACGGTATCATAACAAAATATTGGTTTCTAATTTGCGGTAATTGAAATAGAAGATTTTGTATCTTTGGTTCTATTTAAGTTTCAAATGATAATTGAAGTTTTGTATTGTGGCGGGAATAGCTCACTCAGTAGCGTTCTCGACTCACACGCTGGAGGAATTCGGTTCGAATGTCCAGCAATAACAGAATGAAATATATAAAATATTAAACTAGATTAAGAATTTGTTAATTTGTAGAAGACAAGAAAAAAATTGTATTAGAAATAAGAAGAAAAAAAAGTTTCATTTAGAAGATGAGAAGAACATATTGAGAAACAAGAAGGAGAATGAAATTCAGTAGAAAGAAAATTGATTGGAAGATTAGGATATAAGAAGAGATAGTATATATATGATGAATGTGTAAGAAATATATATGTAAGAATTGTATAGAATATAATGAAAAATAATATGAATAATGTAGGTGGCTAGAAATGCTGTAAAGCGGAGACCAATAAAAAAAAAGAAAAAAAAAAAAGTTTTATACTGATTGGAATTTGTATAAAAGCATAATGCAACACTACTAAATATTATATAATTTGTTTTAGTAATATTAGGTTAATTACAAAGTCTTACTAGAATAATTAATTTAGCCTAATTAGGCTAATTAATTATAATCATATTAGCACTTTTTCATTATTATTAAAAAAATATTATCTCTCATTTCATAGTGCTTCAACAAGTGAGATTATAATAGTGCGATTTAAAAGTTTGCAAAGAAAAATCTACTCTCTACTTCATCCAATCCGAAAAAATCAGCTTTTGCAGGATTTATGTTAAGACCATCTCATCACTTACAATTTATATAAGATTATATAATCTTCTATTATACCACAAATATTCCGAATCTCATTACAATAACGTTACATCGTCGAATAATTGATCATCTGATTTATTTGCGAGAGAGCAAAGGAGCAACCGATTTGACATAATCCATTTATATGTCAAATGGTGCAATATTAAAATGAATTTTTTTACCAATAAATTACCACACCCAGAAGAAGCGTTATTATTTGCAATATAGAATTTGCAAAACAATGAGAATTATATAACTGACGTTGGTGTGGGAGTGCTACGATTTGCTTGCATTTGAATCAACCACAACATATCATATTTGTGCTTTCAGGAAATGCCAGATGCGGTTATATAAACAGATATATATATATATATATATATATATACATATACTAGCTGACCCGCAAATCGATGTTTATCCATAAAAATGTTTCTAGAAAATTTTTAGTAGAAAAAAAGAACTAACTACTAGTGAATGTGGAAGTACGTGGTATATAAGTAAAAGGGGTAGTTAATACAAATTAACACAACTAGTTGGTTTACCTACTGCAAAGCATGCCACATATTATTATTGTTCCTGGCGCTTATTGATAGTCAGTGCAAGTGACAGGCTAATGTCAACAAACTGATTTCATTAAAACTGAGTTAGCACATTTGGAGATTCAGGATTCTAATATATTATTACCGTAGTAATTTATTAATTCACTAATTCCATCCATTAATTCACTAATTTTTGAATTCCGAAGCAAAATCTGAACCTTATTTTTTAATTAAGGTCATGCCTGCTCAACCATGTACCTAAATGCCTAAGTACCCTTTCAAAAACTGTTGAATCTTCAGATTTTAATATTTTTGCTATAATTGTTCTTCCCTCAAGTCGTTCATAAATAAAACACTGCTTGTGCGCATCGGAAAATATTTGTACAATGAAAGAAATAGTTAGTGATCAATAATTTGGCGTATGTAGTTTTATCGATGGTAACACTTTTGTCTAAATCTAAAAATTGTAGTAAAAATGTTTTAGCCTAATAGAACAGAAAAATTTTATCTTTTCCATAAGCTCAGAACAATCTTGGTCAAATTTCAATAAGTATCCTTCACAAAAGAGCCGTCAATTGATCAGTTATCGAGCTAAATGAAAAATGATTAGACTATTAAAGTGACTATTATGATATATTAACTAGTAGTTTATAGCATTGTGCCTTAAGACTTGTGCTGGAACTTCCCGTACTATAATGAAATGCTCGAGGAATATTGATGTTTTCAAATAGATTATTATAAATACTGTAACGTTGTCTAATATTTATAAGAATTATATAAACTGAATTGCAAAGTTACAATTATTAATTTGAAGCCTATAAGTAAGCGTTAGAACTTTAGCCAGAATTAAAATTAAAATCTGAATTATTTTCGATATACAAAAAAAATTTTTGAAAACAAAATTGAAATATTTTTTCTTTCAAACGCAATTGTTTTATAAACATAAGCAGAAAGTTTTTTGAATCATTCAAATCGGATGCTTAGTTCTCTCAAAAACTGCCATTTTTGCACATATAGCTCGGTATCTTCGAAACAGCTGGACCTGCATTTGCCAAAAACTAATCACCACTTCTCCCCGTCATTACGAATTGAATGCTTTTTGTATCATTCGGATTCGTTCTCTCAAAAACTCGATTTTTATTTTCTGACTCTGTGCTCCAAAACGGTTGGTTCTGCCTTTGCCAAAAATTACTCAGCACATCTCATTATCAATAGGAATCGAATGTTTTTTAAACCATTGAAATCGGTTGATCCGTACGCCCAAAAACGTAGACGAAAAACTGTATCCATATATACACACACAGATACATCTTTTTTTTCTGAGGTATGCCAAAATATTCAGAAAAATTCAAAACGTAAAAAAATATGAAAATTTTGAATTTCGATTTTTGGACGATTACAATAAATTACCCTATAAATAAATCAATAAAATCTTAATGTTGATTTTATATTCGTTTAATATAGGCAGTTTTTATTTATTAGCATTTCACATTCTGCCAAAATACATCTTGAACAGATATATGGTTTCATTGCAAAACGTATATTATTGCAAAACAGCAATTGAAAATGCAAAAGTGAAATTGCAGATATAAATATTGGTATTGAATCTCATTATAGATCATGGGAGAATGATCATATTGTACAGATAGAAATTGTTGAAAAACACCGCAATTCTGCATTTAGCGGTTAGAACATGAAAGTCATGTATATATTAGGATCTGCAGATTCGTATTTATAGGTTGTATATAACTTTTACATTTGTTATAGTAATTTGCAATATCGTTTTTACAGAGATCCAAAAATGTAGTGAGGATTACGCAAAGGTAAATTAGATAAAAAAGTTCAAATATTTCATTCGTAATAATATAAATATGTTTTAAATATAATATTATCATGAACTTCAATTTCTGAAACCGTACATTCTTCAGTAGCTGTGTATACAGTGATAATTGCAAGGAGGATAACGAGTTACAGTTTATAAAAACGCATTTTAATTAATTATATAGATTACAGACTTCATAAACATTCATAAATAACAGACATTCAAAAAAACCCGACAGTTTAACCGTAGATGGTATATTTAACATGCTTCTAATTGCGATGAAGATGTGGGTTGAAGTTCCACATACTGACTTCGCTTTTCATGGGATCAGGAACTAAATGAGGTTCTGCTGCAGCCAAAATATTTTCAGCGTCCTCTTTAGAAATCTGCAGATTTGTTAAACATAATATATGAAACTATTTTAAAACTGTGCAAAGTGGAATATGTGTTTTCATTCCACAAACGACAGATAAACACAATTTTTCTATCACGTTATAACAAGTCAAAAAAAAATTAAGAAATTTTTTTTCGAAATCATGATTTTTTTCAATCACATTTTAAGCCAAAATTAAATTCATTAACTGAATTTTTCGAAATAATGATTTTTTTCCATTTCGTTTTTTTTCCATCATATTTTTACTAGTCAATATGTTTTGAGTGATTTTTTCAAAATTATTCTTTTTCTATCATATTTTTATGTAATCTATTTCGACATAATGATTTTTTTCTACACATTTTTACATATCAAAATGTTATAAGTATTTTTTTTAAATCGTATTTTTTTTTACCATACAAGTTAGTATTAAAGTAATTTTTTTCTAAATCATGATATATTTTCTATCATATTATTATTATTATATTTTTTATAGTCAATATTCGAAGTATTTTTTTTTAAATAATAATTTTTTTCCATCACATTTTTACTAGTCAATATCATTTGAGTGATTTTTTTTCAAGATTTTTATACATTTTATATCATATTTTTACTAGTAAATAATAAATATTAATATAGTGTTTATATATTTTTTAAATAATTGTAGCTGTACCCGTTCATACTTCGCCGTGTTTTTCCTCCAATTAAAAATTTGAACAAAAATTCATGTTTTCTACATCTAGTACACCAGGTTTCTTGTCTTACAGTTTACCTGTCTATATGACTATCAGTCTACCTCTCTACCTGTCAACCTGTTTATCACTCAACCAATTTACCTGTTTATCAGTTTACCAATTTATCTGCCCGCCAATTTACCTGTTCAACAATTTACCTATCTACGAATTTACTGTTTGAAACTATTCATCTGTTCACCTGTCTGCCAACCTGCTAGTCTACCAATTACCAATTAATTAAGAAAGATATAATTACTTTTTTATTTTTTACAAAATAATGGTTTGTGGTAGGTGATTCAAAATTAAGGGTTATATGTGTTTTCTATATACGCTTTTATTTATAAAAAAATAAATAAGTAAAATTTTTTTAAAGAAGTCTTCGAGGCGACCAACTCCTATTACTTGGCTTTAATCAAAAAATGCGAAAACTTGTCCCGGGATAAACCAAACGATTTCCTAAATATTTGAAATAATATTTTACTTCTGTTTTTAAAAGTCAAAATCTTTGAAAGGTTTTTTCTATAGCATAATTACAAGTCCAAAATTTCAATGTTCACATGAAATTATGTACATTTATTTCATAAAATTCCTTATTTCGTCAAATATTGTTTGTATTTTTTTAGTATCGAATTAACTACCCTATAGTGCTTGCCAACCAGTACTAAATCATCTAATCCATTGTATAAGTATGCCATATTGTTCAAAATTGTAGAAAAATAATTAAATGATTAAAATTTTATCATATACTTGATAATTGTAATAACATTGATCGAAATCACTTGCACTGGCAAAGGTAAATTTATATAATAGAAATAATTGAAAATAAATTTATTTTAAAATAAATAAGTCTATCAAAAAAACATGAGGTAGTGTTACCCTCAAAATAAACTTTTGAAGGCGCGATGCACGTTTGAACTGTTTACTGCGACAAGACTATGACAATGACGCTCAACATCTGACAGGATTGCGATTATCGCTTTCATCACATACAGTTGGGGAAACGTTATTTAAACTATCCAGTTTTTAAATAATAGCTATGTCCATATATGCCATTTTGTCCGTATTTTACCAGCTTCTTTCTAATGGTTTCTAATTATTTTATAATTTATATAGTTAATACTCCCCCTCATCCACCGCAATATCCTATTGTAACATCAGAACATTTACATTTATGTTTATCACAAAAGCTTATTAATTCTCAATGTATGCGCAAGTACTGGTAATTTGCATAATTGCATTGTTAATAATGAAGCATTTTTAAAAATTATTAAAATTTTAGTAACTTACATAGCAAGGGCTGTTCAGTAGACGGGTGTTAATATAGGAAATAAATGGCGCGTATAACTCCATGTCGATAAGTTCTTTCCAAGACGTGTGCTGAGAATCAATCACTATTTCGGCTGTTGCTTTTGCACCTCGAGCTTCCCCTTCGAACGCAAACCTAAAATAATAAATATATTTATGTTTAGTTCACCATTTAAAAACAGTGTTTATATATATATATATATATATATATATATATATATATATATACAGGAGAATGAATCAACATATCTGTAATTCCAAAAATCCAAATCCGTATAAGACTATGTTTTCGGAAGATGTCATTAGTTTAAACCATACTTTTAAGACCAAGAATCCCATTATTTTACAGAAGGAAAAGAATGGAGACCTCAGAAAATTTGCTGAATCTGTATTTATCTTTTTAAACCCCAATTGCGTTAATAAACGAAATTCTGCTCGTTTAGTACATGACACTTATCATAATATTATCAATTTTTTTTAGAAATAATTCTTCAAATCTTTGACTGTTGTTGTTTTTTAATTTTATTCTTTTTAATTCTTATATTTTCATATCTTTTGATATTTTATTTTCTCTAGTTGTTTTACTCTTATTTTTTATAGTTTTATATTATCACTTATATAATTTTAAATTTATTATGTCAAAATTTCTTCCAATTCATTGAAATAAAAATTAATATAATAATAATATTTGACTTATAGAAGACTTTCATAATTCTGTTACCATATGTCAGTAACCCTTTGTAGATAAAATAAAATTGCAAATCATATCGAACAATGCCAATGTTCTATCACAATCCTAGTATTTAAATACAAATCATGTATTCATAGATGTCAAAAAATATATAAAAAGACCATTCATACATAAGATGACGCAAAAACAATGAATGCATGAGTCAGAATATTGAATCGAAGATCAATAATGCGAATGACTGCACTGATCGTGATTTAAATTGTAATCCGAATAGTCTTTTCAACAGATACATCACGATTTATTTCATCTGAATTGTACTTTCATGGCCAGATAGATAAAAGAAATAACAATTCTGAGGTAGGATAAATAAGACAAAAGCGGATATTAATTTGTGTCCATCAAAAATATTTTATATATTAAGTGAAATTTATAAAAAAAAAATTAATTAAGTGTACAAGAAAAAAGCATAAACTTAAGTCATGTTTCATGAAATTCAATTAATTCAGTTAATAAATAAATAAAATATTTGCAAAAGTTAGTTTGTATTATTGTATGCATATTTTATATCTGTATTTTCAAGTAAAACCAATATCACTACTGCATGATATCAGGCTGTCTGAGGTGGTGAACGTTATTTTATTCTGCATCAAAGTCCTTGCGAGAGGTTCAAGAAGTTTTGAAATTGTTAATTTCAATCGAGTTTTGCCAAAAACTAACTAATATATTTTCGAAGTGATATTGTTCGAACAAACTTAGTTTTTTAAGGTCGTTAGTTCATACCCCGCTATGGACAGCTTACATCGTGCTGCAGCGATGTCCATTTTCATTTGAAAATATAGATAAAAAATATGTTTCTAATTAAAAATAAGCACAATTTGGATACTGCTGTGCTAAATGGCAGTGGAAAACTTTCCACACTATTCTTCCCTGAATCAAGTTCGAGTTTCATTCAGCTCATGGACCTGCCCTAGGACAGTACTACCATCATACGAACAGTATGCCAATAGACAAAACAACTTTTATTAAATAAAAAAATTACAATGTTTTGCAATGTTGTTTCAAGCATTTGAAAATAAATCATGGTAAGAGTTCAAATTAACACTAAAGTTTAAAAAATCTATATAATGTGATTTTTTTATAAAATAAACCATTAAAAAGTTCAATGTTTTTTTTATAAAATCGCTCAAGACATTTCTTAAAACAATATTACATTTAGTAATATTTTTCAGAAAGATTAATAGCATTAACTCCTAGTCTCCTAGTCATTGATTTTACCACTAAGCCAATGTTCGTAATTATTGACCATCTATGTTATATTTCTAGAATTTTTATATTTTCAACTTTTCGTAGGGTAAGTTATAGAAATCGCAAAAAATCGAATTTTTTTATATATTTATACGTTTCAAAGGTTTCTGAACATTCGGCATACTATAGAAAAAATGGATGTGTGTGTGTTTGTATATACGATATCACAGCACGATTGCTTTGAAAAAAAAGTTCAAAATTTTCAAAAAGTTTTTATGATATAAAAAAAATTCAAAATTTTTTAAAAAAATGATTTTTTCTCAAAAATTTCAACTCAAAAAATTATTTTTTTCGAATTTTTCAAAAAGTTTTAAAACTTTTTTAAAAAAAATAATTATCGGTACGGGAAGTTCCAGCAATTTGGCTTAAGGCACGATGCCATGTACAAAACATTCAAGATTAAATTATGACAAATACAGAACTCATTGGCTAACCTAGCAAACGTTCAAAATTATTTTTATCTTGTATTTTGAATTTTGGGTATTTTGTGCGTCTTCACATTAGAATACATAAATAGTAACTGCATAAATTCAAACGATAATGCCATTCAACTTCAAATTCTATTCGTAGTTTATTATGAAACAGTTTCGTCCTGTTTATCGCGTTATAATTTAATTTGCCATTCGCCTTTCGCTCCACAATCCGCGGTATTTGCGATATAACGCGACCACAAAACTGCCAATTTATTTTGCCCTCTGCATTGACATGGCGCCTCTTATCTATAATAATAATGGATAGATCGAACAAATAAATGTCAACTCTGGCTTATGGCGAACAACACTGACATATATGAACAAGGTCGGAGTACCAGATATGCATTGTTTTTAAATAATAATCGATGCTCTTGTATAGGATTTTATTATATTAATAACCTTCTTATTGCAGTTTGGTGGTTAGAGATAATTAAAATACCGCAAGAGGAAATAATTGTACAAGAACTATATGGAGAGCTTTTCTTATATGCGGGAGTGCTAGACCAAAGTGAATCCAAAATTGATTTCGAAGTCATCGGTTAGGCTCCACTTGGTACATAATTGTAGTCAAATTGTTATAAATCATTTTAACGCAATTTGGTTAAGAACATGGGCTAACACAAACTAGTCCCAGGTTCGATACCAACATCGACCAGCTTTGATATGAGTAATATGGTATCAAATTTTTACTGCAAGTAATAGATCTCAAATATAATATCAAGTAAAAGTCCAGTCAATTGCTGCAATACGTATACGCCAATACTATTGAACACATAACACATTTTATATATAGTCTACATGAAAAAATTGGTTGACCGCTGGGTTGCCCTTTCGAGAAAATTACTAGGTTAGGATGTACGATAGCAAACTCATAGAACACGTAGTTTTGCTCACTGTTGAAAAAAGTACATGATTTATTTGAAGTGTAAACTAGTTGTAAGTGGCATTTTGCATCGGGGAATGAACTGCCCGATAAGTGTAAATAATCGATTTAATCAATTTTTTTTATTTATATATAATGTAATTGTTTACCTGTCTAACCAATCTACTTGTTCGTCTATTCCCGTATACCAATCCACCTGTCTACCATGGGTCTACCAGTTTACCAATCTGACTGTTTACCTGGCTACTTATTCACGAGTTTACCTATCTACCTGTGTACATGTTTACTTCTATACTTGTCTATGATTTAACTATCTGCCTATCAGTTTACAAATCTATCTGTCAACCTGTTTCCTTTCCACCTGTTTACCTGTCTACCTACATACATGCCTATCTATCTACCTATTTACCAGTAATTCTATTATTTTATAAATGATGATTTGTAAAGATCATATTAGATGATTATATAATAATGAATTAATAATATCAATTTGTAAATATATATAATATTTAATCAACAAGTGTAAATTTTCTTACAAAAAATTCTGCATCTCCAAAACCGCTAAGCATGCTTTCGCAAAATAGTCCAGTCATTTGGTCGTTTTGCCGGTACAGTACTCCGGGAATTCTGAAAATTGGTAATCTTATAGATTTCAAGGTGTTCTTTACAAAAATCAACTTTGTCACCTCAAATTTGAACGGCAAGTTGCCGCCATATTGAAAAAATGGCGTCAAAAAACAGCTTTTTTCGAATATCTCCTTTCTGGCTGATTCTGCAATAAAAGTATCTATGTACGAAATAAACTAGATAAAATTCCCTACAATTCCTTAGAAAACCGTTTTTCTGTAAAATTGATAGTTTGAGAGTACGGCCGCCTCAAAGTCTTTGCTGCTCTCGCCGTAGTATCAAATCTGTCCAATTATGACAGAACTTTGAACTTGACCACATTCCTTCTAATAAATAAATATTTTCAATGTTAAATTAAGCGAATAAGATCTAGAAATAAAATAATTCAAATATTTTTCTGTTTTTTTGCTGATTTTTTACAGCTTCAAGCTACTTGAAGCTGTAAGGTGCTACTCAAGCTATAAGTATACTTATAGCTACTTTGCCATTGAAGTGTTAAAAAATTAGCAAAAAAACGATAAATATTTGAATTATTCTATTTCTAGATCTTATTCGCTTAATTTAACAATGAAAATATTAATTATTAGAGAGAATGTGGTCAATTTCGAAGTCCTGTCATATATGGAGAGATTTGATACTACGGCGAGAGCAGCAAAGACTTTGAGGCGGCCGTACTCTCAAACTATCAATTTTACAGAAAAACGGTTTTCTAAGGAATTGTAGGGAATTTTATCTAGTTTATTTCGTACATAGATACTTTTATTGCAGAATCAGCCAGAAAGGAGATATTTGAAAAAAGCTGTTTTTTGACGCCATTTTTTCAATATGGCGGCAACTTGCCGTTCAAATTTGAGGTGGCAAAGTTGATTTTCGTAAAGAGCACCTCGAAGTCTATAAGATTACCAATTTTCAGAATTCCCGGAGTACTGTACTGGCAACAGCCTTTTTTTGCACCAAATGACTGGACTAAAAATCAATTCCGTCAACTCAAATTTTCTTAAAGTTAAATTGAGAATTCTAGTTTGTTATTGTAACATATTAATTTTAAGGAAAGTCTTTCATTTTAAAGCATTAACAACGAATGGAAAATCTTATAATATGTTTTGTATCAAATATTTGGGCGGCTTACTGGCTTGTGTAGGAATTAAATATCTGAATTTATTGGTCTTCATTTATTATGTTCATTTTCTAGAATTTCTAATTATCTGACCTGTTCTCAATACGCCCTTCAGGAACCCTGTATGCCCGCAGCCAGTCCACAGATCTCTTCAAAAGGTCGGGATAGTATTTTTCAACGTCAGCAATGTCTTTTGCATAATCCGCAACTGGATCGCTGGCGTTGATTCCTATCAATTTCCACTTGCATTGATGGTCTTCTAAGAGGGCAAGGGAACCAAGAATCTTAACCTGATACAGAAAATTTAATGAGGATAAAAAACGACCTTAATTATAAACGTATTGCTAGTTTTTTCTCATCTTAAACTATGAAAGATATTATAATAAAATTCTAATAAAGTCGGAAATACAATATTTAAATTTATAATTATGTTACCTGAATAACACTGCCCCTGGGCAAACGTTTACAGCCAATTTCTAGGACTTCCAGTGGTGAGTTACAACCTAAAATGCCAGTACTGGTATCTGCTTGTTCAGGATTTGACCACGTCTGAGGCAAAGAGCAAACATTCCACATGTAACCGTGATATGGAAAACAGTTCGGAACGTATCTATAAAAATTATCATTAAATTTAATAGAATTAGATAAAAATCTTGATGGCTATGTATATTAAGTTTAAGAGCACTCCACCACATAGAATCAACCCATCGCACCATCAAATATTAGGTATAATTATTAATAATAAATATAATTACAAATCAGATATTTTCCATAAAGACAATTTGGTATTTGTCTTATAACTAGATTTTTATGAAATCAGCTTTTTTTCTTTATTTCCTGGAAGAGCAGCAAATAAGACGACGATAATAATTGATTCCACATTTATATTTATGAAAAATCGTAAGTACTATTTTAAGTTACACACTACACGACACTATTGAATAACACGATCACACAATCAAAAAATATTATCTATATTCAAGAACCTTAATTATAGCTAAAATGTTAAGAATTATAATTATCAATTATAATTCTTAATTAAATTACCGTATAACAATTTATAAAAATCGCAAAAATTTCGATAATGAAATTTTTTGTATGTATGTGCGTGAGGGTATATGTATGTGTGAATGCAATTTTTTGTCGACGATTTCGAGAGCCCAAGTCAACCGATTTGAATGATTCAAAAACATTTGATTTCTATTGATGGAGAGATGTACTTATTAACTTCCCGTAGGGTAAGTTATTGTATTCGTCCAAAAATCGAAATTGAAAATTTTTACATTTCTTCACGTTTTGGAGGTTTCTGAACATTTTGGCATAGTTCAGAAAAAGTGGGTGCGTGTATGTGTGTGTGTATATATGTATCTATGTGCGGATACAATTTTTTGTCGTCGATTTCGGGAGCACAAACCGCCTGATTTGAACGATTCAAAAATACTTGTTTCTATTGATGGAGAGATGTGCTTATTAGTTTTTAGCTAATGCAGGACCAGCCGTTTCAAAGATACGGGGCAAAAAGTGCCAAAAATCAGCTTTTGAGAGAATGGAGCGTACGATTTGAATGATTCGGAAAATATTTGACTTTTATGAACGGAATGAATAATTGCAACATCAATTTTGAAGATCCAGAAAAAATGCCTAAAAAATGATTGATTACATGAATAATTTTGCCCCGAACAAAACAAACACGTGATTCCTTTAAAAATTTTAATTCGACGATTTGGCTGCAAAATATTTCAAATATATATAAATATATATATTATATATATATACATATATATGTATGTATATATATAAATATATATAAATTATGATCTTTTAATTATATTTCAATTACAATTATGTAATATTTGTTAAGAGCACCCAATTTAAATTTTCCGCCAATTATTATTCTTGCATAAGTATTATTTTAGCTCCAGGCGCTTGCTTTCGCAGTATTTAGATTATTTCTCGTACCGTCACATCGTTAAGAAGACGTTCCTTTTGTATTGTTTCAAAAGCATTGTAATTGATTGATTTTAGTTTCATAGTAAATTATTCAATTACATAAGTAACGTTCTTCAGTTTCCCATCACGTTTTTTTTAATGACTTACATTTTAATCATGTGAAGACAACCTAGAAAATGTACTGTGCGATGCACTTTAGGTAATTGTAAAGATTTTTGTCTTAAGTGATTGTTTGTTTGGATTTGAGTATAGAAAAACCTACTTTATCATTGCTAAATAAGAATTTAATCCCAAATTTCTTAAAAACTGTGTAATGTAATATATTTTACTTTAAAATCACATACAAGAAATAATTCAGCAAGAAAGTCAATATTGACTTCATTGATAATAATAATGGGAAGTAATGCCCATGTCCTTGAGCTTAACTCTAACTCGATTCAGGGAATACTAGTATGAGAGATTTTCCATTGCCATTTCACATCGCAGTGCCCGAGATGGGCTATTTTCAGGTGTGTGTGTTTATGTGTGCATACGTGTATGTGTGTATGTGTGGATACACATACCATGGAACACCCATTACTTGCACTATATGTTCTATTAATATTTTGTAGTATATTTCATGATAGATAAATAATAATAGAAATAGGTTTGTTATCCCTCTGATAGTTAAAAGTAGCATAGTACACAAGTATCAATTAGGCAATTAAATCAATCAATTATTTACACTCTCGCTTCGTGATTATCGTTAGTCCGAAAACCTAGTATTTGCTAAAGTAAGTGTTAAAGACCATAGTTTAAATAGCAGTTGATTGAAGAAGCGAAGAATAAAATTTCACAATCAAAACAGACTATCCAATGAAGTCATTTAAATTAAATTCATCCTTCAATATTCTTGCCTTGTATTATATCTCAAAATAAATGAACGAGAGAAAAAATTAAAAAAGCAATGAAGCAAAGTAATCAATATAATGTATAAAACAGATTAAATCAATCAATTGACTACTATATCAATCAATCGATACATTATTAAAATAAACACCGTTTAATCTGTATATATTAAAAGTATATAATCAATGAGCATAATGCAATAGATGAAAGAATTAATTTGATAAATCGTATTAAATGAATTAAATCGATCAATCGATAATTGAGAAGTAAATATCATTATTAATAAAAAAAGTGTTTTTCGATATTATAAATGAAAAGCTTTATCTTATAAAATTAAACTAGTGTTGAATGGCATTGTGCCTTAAGACAAATTGCTGGAACTTTTCGTCCCGTTATTTAGAAAGTTTTTTGAAAATCTAGAAAAATATTTAATTTTTTGGATTTTTTTTTTTTGATAATTTTAATTTTTTTTAAAGTGATCGCGCTGCTTATGTGTAATATGCATTAGCTATTGGAGACAAAATATTGAAGCAATTATGTAGATAGTTTTATATGTGTATATTAAAGCGGGTCGATTTGTGAGGGTCAAAAAAAGAACATATGATTTTCCGATACTAGGGATCAAAATAAAATGTCCCCCTAAGTCCCCCTGATAGGTTTTTCAAAATTTAACCCTTATCTTTAAATCAATGCACGGGACATTAACATTCATTATTATTTGTTTTGATCCCTAGAATCCGTTAATCATATGTGGATAAATGTGTATGTCATGCATGTATATATAGGATACATCGGGGTTTAAATGTACGGGTAAAAAGTTCTACCACCAGTAACTCAAAAAAGTTAGAAATTTTTGTATAACAATATTTGAAAGTAGAGGGAAAAGATGTGTAACCAGCCATCGCCTTAAATCAAGCAACGTCGCTATCAGGAGATAAACGCAAATGTTTGAAAATCTATAACAGAAGATTTTCTTTCGTTGACAGTTTTTTTTTTGCTCTTGAGCACTGTTGTTTAGTTTACGAAAGCTTAATATAACTTTAGATATACTTTATTGAATTATTTTATAAGATGTATTGTTTAGTTTAGGTTAGATTCAACAAATGTTTTTATATAACCTCTATAAAAGCTTTCGTGTGGTTGGGGTAAAAAAAACTATTAAACCTTTACCCTAGCAAAAGTGTAAAAATACAAAAGGTAATTATGTTGGAAATAGCAATTTTACAACAGATAAGTAAAATTAGTGGTTAGTCCAACTCTGTTGATGAATATTTCTGGCGAAATACCAGATCAAGGTCATATACTGTGTAATATATGTAATAAATGTAACCATAACATTTATATTTTGCATTGGTTGAATAATTGTAAAACCCTTTCAAATTAAAAATAAGACATCTGTTTGCCACCTGTCTATCCCATTTTACCTCGCCTTTGGGGTAGAAAAGGGACAGATAATAAATGGTAGATGTTTTTCACTAATATTTTTCACTAATAATCTACCATTTATTATCTGTCCCTTTCTACCCCAAAGGCGAGGTAAAATGGGATAGACAGGTAGCAAACAGATCCAATGTCTTATTTTTAATTTGAAAGGGTTTTACAATTATTTATCTCTATCATTGGGAATTACTTGAGAATTTCTCTGAACATAGTATGATAGTTGTTTGTTTGATACGTGTTATGTGTTGTGATGTAGTTCATTTAGTTTGAACAGTATACATAATTACATAAAGTCGAATTAGAATTTTGTGCCCCACCCTACCTACCGTACATAATTCTAAATATTTAATTATAGAATGTAATGCAATACAACAGGTGGTCAAATAAATTGTTTTAATTTTTTTTAATAACTCACTTCACTTCCCCCAATCTGTGTAGTTGCATTATGGGATTGAGAGCTTCTTTCATGCAAATCTCCATGCGGTGGTTAGACCAACGGGGGCACCTGACAATGGCGTTATAGAGACCGGGTGAGGCCTTCAGTGGGATGTCATGGATGGACGATACCGGGCCTATTTCATCTCGAAAGTAAATACGATAACCGCGATGGTTTTCTGCACCGTGCTCTTCAATCTGATACATTTTCTATCTGAAATTCAAAAATTTTAACATTAAACAATTTTCAAAAAATTTCAAAGATTTCAATGAATTGCAACGTTTTCATAGAACTCCAAAATTTTCAAAAAATGTTATAATTTTCAAAAAATTGTTTTTTTTTCAAAAATTTCGAAAAACAAACAAATCCATATTTTTATGAGACAAGGTTCTCGGATGCTTTCATTCTATCTCGGCTCGATTAGGTTTTGTTTATACTTCTATGTTACATTTCTTGTAAACATACACATAAGTTTTTTGTAGAATACCGTAGTCACCAAATTTAATAAGCACTTAATTTGCAGTATTTATCAAAATATATTTTTTTAAATATAATATATTTTGTATATCAGCATTTGAAAATATTTCAAATGGTTGCTATAAATTGTTGATAAATTTTTATTGTTAATTTCTGGAATGTTTAATTACGTTACGGGAAGTTCTAGCAAATGGCCTCAAAGCACCATGCCATGTACCATTTGAAAAATTTGGAATATTTTTCGGATCCCCAAAATTAATCAACAAATTAACAATGACAGTCAAATTTTCGAATCCCCGAATGGCCATATTTTGACAACAATATTAGATAAACGTATCCACTAAAAAAAAGAAATACCTATTTATTTTTTCGCTAATTCATTGACTTACCATATGTGATACTTATTTTATTATTGACAAAATAATATTTGACTTGAAACTTAATTTTTTAAATTTTTGTATCTCAATTTTAATTTGACAGAGCAAGAAAAATCTTGACATATTTATAATTTTATAATTTTTTATTTATTTTAAAAACTTATTAAAACTTATATTTACTTAAATTAGTTTAGTTACTTACAAATAGAAAGAAAATAAAAAAATATATACCTCTAACCAGATTATTTTTCAGATTCTTTGACTTCAATAGATTTTGTTCATTAATCCCAATATTAATGTGAATCACGTAGCCTTCTTTTACAATGACATGGTCATTATTATTATCTGGTCGGGCACTTTTAAGAGGAATTATTTACAAACAATTTAGGAAAATGTTACTGAAAAATATATAATATTACCAAATGCATTTTTGTTTTACGAATCCCTATGAGAATTGACACAATCGTCAGTAGTATGTTTATAAAACAAATTCACGCATTTTAAATTGTGACACATTATCACCGCATGTTTTGATCTTTTTAGACTGATTGTGAAATTATCAATCAGGCTGAGTTAAATTATAGTAGTAAATTTTCAGAAGTCTAATACAATACTTATTATTATCATAAGTAAGTTTTGCAAGGTTATCATACGAGTCATAAATTCAACTAATCGCTATATTTGGTAGAAAAAAGCTAAATTATATGTCTACGTTTTTTGTCAAAAAACCTGAAACAATTTTAAAATTTTTTAAATTATTTAAAAGATATCTGTAGGGAATCGCCTTCATTACTTTGGACCAATGGATGGGTCCAGAGAGAACACGTCTGCGAAAAAAAATTCGGGGTCAACAAAATGAAAATGGGGGTCTGCGGTAGTAGAATCACAATACACGACGTTAATATTTATTTACTTATATTAAATCCTTTAATAAAAAGAAATATTCAATATTTATAAATAAAACTTAATAGTAAATTGAGTTCTATTTTATTTAAACCATCAATAATCATCAATTAAAATTAATAAAATTATTATTCTTTTTTCTAAAAATGTATAAGTTGTAGCAAAAGTAGACATTCGATTTGTGATCGAAATATGGTTGGGCCTGTAAAGACCTAATCTTAAAGCCTTAAAAGCCGTAGCAAAAATCTTTGCGTTTTTTTGAGACGGTTCAATAGTCGTAAAATAGAGATCTCCTAACAAAAAAAAATAGTCGAGAGATATAAGAATAAGCCATACAAACTGCCTAATATGTTGATAAATTAAACATTTACTTTTCGCTTGCTTAATTTTTTTATGATTTCAAATTCAATTAATACAATGTACGCAAGTAACAAACATTTCATAGTAACTATTGAATAAACTTTAGTACACTTAAAACATTTAAAAAAAATCGTTATTGAGTAGATAGGGCTCCATGGCAAAGGCCAAGAGGTGCATGGCACAGGAAAGTTTGGGAACCTAGGTCCAAACAAGCATTCTACAATATTATAGGCTTACAAAAATTGATTTGATTATAAAAATATATTAATTTTCGGAATATTGTCCACGTTGTGAATAGATATAACATTACAATATTAAGGTAACCATATTTTTTAAGGTCAAAAACGGGACGATCACTTTTAGTTATGATAATATGGGACGTGGGGGGGGGGAGGGGTCATGTTTTTATGCTAGATAACTTAAATATGATTTAAGGTAACAAATACTTATAATAAAAATCAGTTTTTTTTATTTTAAATGAATCAATTTTTTTTAAATTACTGATTTGTAGTAAGAACATTAGATTAAGTTATAGGATATCTTATATTTTTCGATCAATATTTTTTTGTTCCTAAAAGTCTTATTTAAAATTCAATTCACTTTCCTCATTAATTAAGTTCGTGAAAATTGGCACTTGTGTCAGGCAGTAAAAAAGTTCATTTTCATAACTTTAATTTTTTTAAATTAAAAATAAAAGTTCGATTTTTAATGTAAGAAGCTATTTTGACCTTCGAAACTTGCACGAGTTTATTATGTATTCTAAAAGCTGTATGAATTTCATTAAAATTTACTAAGTGGTTTTCGAGTTACAGTGGTCACCGTTTCAAAAAAAACATAGTTTTGAGAAAAACGCGTTTAAAGTTTCACATTGGATTTACGTACAGAAATTCGAATTATTGAATTACTTAAACCGAGTCATCTATATCTGGGCCATATAGTAGTTTATCAGTCATTGTGCAAGTTTTTAAAACATCAGGAGGTGAGGGAGAATGATCTTGAGTATAAGTATCGAGCTCTCCACTTGCGTCAACGCGCTGGTAAGAGTCCAATAACTCAAAAAGTAATCATCGGATCAACTTGAAATTTTCAGAGAATATTTTCAAGATGTTACCCTTAATGAAAATGCAAAAAAATAAAAATCGATTTTTCAAAAATCCCAAGTACCCCTAACCCCTTAAGGCAAATTGGTGAAACTTCCCGTACAAATTAATTTTTTGAGACGAAAATTTAATTTGTTTTTTGTAGAACTTTGAAAAAATAAGATTTATGAGATTTTTAAAATTATTGAGATTAATTATTCTTTCTGAAAAAATAGATTTTTTTATACTTTGAAATATTTTGAAAATTTTTTTTTTTTTTTTTTCAAAGCAAAGTGAGAACGAAATGGTTAAAAATTGGTACAGAACCCATAGAAATGTAAACGAAACTTGTTAGAAATTTATAATTCATCATTAAAATATGTGATAATTTAATGTGCATATGTCTTTTGATCAAATTTGTCCGGTAAATGGCATTTTTTCTTTACTTTTTTATTGGATCTCCAAAACCACTAGACCTGTCTTCCCAAACATTTCATTAGTTCTACATTTCGTCAAATCAAATAAAATGTTTTTTGAATCGTTCAAATCGGCCGCTCCGTTCACTCAAAAATTGAATCACCATTTTTGGCATTTTTTGCACCAAATCATCGGAACGGTTGGACCTGCCTTTGCCAAAAATCAATCAGCACGTCTCTTCATCAGTAGGAATCGAATGGTTTTTGAATCATTTGAATTGGTTGATCCGTGTACTCGAAACCGTCGACAAACAATTGTATCCGCACGTACACACAAACACACACACACAGTCATCCATTTTTCCGATAAATAGTGCTATTTATTAATAAATTTTGGAATTCACTGTAATTGCCGAAATAATGAAAATTAAAGCTGGTTTTATGTAACTCAAAATACAATACTTTGCCAAGGTAGTCCGAATTAATTCTGAATATATTTAAAAAAATTGAAATGCATTTGAAAACATAAACTTCATTTGAGGATTCATGAGTTATATAGGATTGAATATTTCGATATCTATATAAATAATTCAAATTTTTTAATTGGTATGCTCAGTTTAGCTTATAGAAGATTTTGCCCTATTTAGTTCAGTAGTGCTCACTAATAGCAAAATTTTGTATTTGACTTTACTTTAAATAAAAATTTTTTCTATTATTTCATAAAAACTATGACATTTATTATAAGTCTTTTGTACACTCATATATTCTCTGGTGATTTTCTCTTTCAGATTATTTTGTAACTAATATCAAATCGGACCGATGTGTGTACATCATATTAATCACCATTAATTCGATGGAAAAGAAAATTCAAATTCATTTACTTTCTTGGATCTACGCACATAAAAGTTGCGTAGAATTAGGCAAATAAAATATGTTCTATGACACATAAATTGCAATTAAATACCTAATTCGATATTCTAGTAGTGCAACAGACTATCTCCGGTATACGAAACACGTGATGTATTTTTAAAGCAATGTTATATATATATATATATATATATATATATATATATATATATAGAATAAATAGAAAAAGTAATTAAAGTTGAAGTAACATATTGACTTTCTACGATGGTGCAGAATTTTTGTAACGTTCAGCAAATCAATATATTTATTTAGTTCCTGCTTCAATTATTAGAAAATTAATAAAAATATTAATATAATTCTATGCCAGTTTATGATATATAAATTTATTTTGATAATAAATTTGCATACTTGCAATATTTTATTCATATTTCACCAGTTTTTGACTTGGGACATGAAATAGATTTATTTATATGAATGTTCTATGTATAATATATAGTTTTTAGATTGTTAAGTAATTTATTGTACTTCGTAATCTTGCTATTTACGAGTTATATACATTTAGATTTTGCATTTTTTGTACAGGTATTTATTAATAATTGCAGAATTAATATTGCAAGAAATTGGGCAATAAATCAATATATAGAATTTAACTATTATTTTTTATCTATTATATAAATTTACCATAATGTCTACTTTTTATGAAAATTATACTAAAATAAAGCAAATG